CGAAAGAAATGAGCAATTTCATTTTTCGTGACCTCTGTTGGGTTCATGATATCGGAACGAATTGGGAAAGACTCGAACTTTGCATTACTTACGTTATATACGCACTTGCAGAAAGTTGATGTTACAGTGAATACCAAGATTGGTATTACGAAATAATTTGATTCATATTCATTATGGGCATTCGGATCATTTCGCTACGTCCAATACTTACGAATCGTGGTCACCGTACATAAGGAACTCATCGTCTACGAAACTTAGGACCAACACAACCTCAACTTGCTTTGATATCATGTTAGATATTCTGTTTGTCATAGTAAGTTATAGGGCATAGGCCACTCAACAGACGGGAATAGTAGAATGGTAAATGTTACTATTAAGGAAGGGAACCTCTGTTGATAAGAACAGTCTCGATAACACCTTCTTCATAAAAATGAACATACTATTGCTACCAACAAGCCTTCGTCTGTGAAGTAAGTCCTTCCAGTTGGAGCACACAACGGTACTCAGCAACTACCACAAGATAAGCCTTTGGATACCCATGCCCAGAGTCCCTCCGACCAGAGGACCTACAATGGGAACCCAGAAATAGTAGTTGTCGGCTGTGAAGACTTGAGAGCCCCATCCAGCCAAAGCACTGAACAATCTCGGGCCGAAATCTCTCGCTGGATTTATAGCATAGCCGGTGTTTACTCCGAAGCTCAAACCGATGACCAGAACGACGAGACCAACAAACCCAGCAACGATGAAACGATTAGCAGGGGTCTCGTCTTGTGCATCGGTTATAGCAGCGATAGCAGCCGTTAACAGGGCACTGCCCACTACCTCATTTACGAAGGAGTTGAAGGCGTTATTGCCTTCTCTAGGATATGTTGCGAATACCCCAGCATTAGACAAATCTTGTACTTCGAAATCTTGGTAGTAACACAAGTAGGTTATGCAAGCACCGATAAAGGCTCCCACTACTTGGGAGACGACGTAGGGGAGAAGCTCCTTCCAAGGCATTTGCTTGTACACACAGGAGGCGAGTGAGACTGCTGGATTGAGATGGGCACCAGATATTCTGAAGCTGGCTAAGGCCCCAAAGGTAACACCGAGGGCCCAGCCGATAGCTATGCAGAGGTAGTTGCCGAGACCACAGACGTTCACTTGGGCGACGACACCCGAACCGAAGGCCAACAAGACGGCCGTCCCGAACACTTCGGCGAGACACTTTCTCCATAAAGGGGGAGGTTCTTTCCTCTCTGATGAGGACCGCGTTGGAGGTGGCAGACAATCAGGGAAGTGAAGGCAGTCAATCTGTGATTTTTCCGACTGACTCATAAAATACTGAAGACCGAAATAACATTCAGAGCAAGGACCTCAGTGTATAGAGCTAGACCCACCGATATTATAGTGCAAACTACAACTAAAGACAATACCCCAATTCGTCAAACTATGCTTATTCTAGTGTGAAGATTCTTGACCTACTCGTACTCCTGTTGCCGCAGTCACAACTTAGCAGACTGAACAATGCAACCTTGAGGAACTCGAGGAATGCTCGACTGCTGTTCACTCACGAGCTAGGGCGTGTTATGATCATCCCATCCAGCCTAATAGTATGAACACTCCCGTCACCCTCATAACGAAGGCTTTATAAACCTGAACCAACACTACCAATCCCAGAAAGCCCCACGGAGATCCCCTAGTATCATCCACGGTCCATGCGGGAGACTTTCTGCCAACAAGAAATACTCCGCTCGAGGCTCCTCCTCGGCAGTCGTTTCAAAAAACGCAAAGGAGTGGGAGGAAATAGGAATCCAATAGTGCAACACGCCGCCGAAGGATCCCGAGCTCGTATCGACATATAGCAAGACATTTACATTGTTCAATCACCATGGTGTTCCTCCCATACTGTCACCCGAACTTCTCATAGTAGTCGATCGGCACTCTACAGCTGCCGAGATGGCAATGACCCACGAGAAGCACTTTAAATGTGGTTCCGTGTTAATGATGATGATGATGCCCAGTTGATCTTGTGGACGGTCGGAAGATCGACTCTAGCACAACAAACACTCTTCAAACTTGACCAAGGAACGAAACCGAAGTGATCGCAGACAAAGATAGAAACGGACAATTCTGATGGCGACTCTATAAAGTTCAATTATACACCTTCAGCCTTTCAAGATGCTTTCATGTACGTATCACGGACGAGTCGACCCCGATCGCTCAACGAACCATCATCTAAAGCTTAGAATCGAAGGCATCTCGCGTGTTACCTATGTGACGACGCTTTTTAAGTGATCTACCATCGACACAGTCTAGTGGGGTAATATAGGAAGATCCGACTAGGATCCCATTGTGCTGGTGAATGTCATGTTCCTCACCACGCAATGAGCATCGCTCAAGGGCAACCTCATAGTGAGTTTCTATTCCAAGCACTTCTACACCTAGACAGCCGATACCACCTGTGTTGCCGACCGTCCCCTAACCCGGATGAAACCCGAAAAACCTCCAAGACTCCACAGCTCATCCCGTTCCCAGCTATCAGCTGCTATTCATGCCTCTATATTTACTATACATCATGATGCCCGATAATAATGTAAATATATTTTGTTGAGAGGCATTAGCATTTGATGTAATATCATTTTATAAATCTATATTATATTTCATATATTAGTTTATGCCATAATATGTATTAATATGATAACAATGGGATAACGTACAACAGCCGAAGCTGAGCTCAAGGTGACACTTCTCACGATCGTACTCGCTCTAGAGTCCTTTCATCGTCCCAGCTAACGGGTAGAATATGATCTGAAATTACTAATCGAGTTCCGGCTAATTGATATTTGCGAGTTTACGAATGCGGTTTTCACCCGAGCTGTAAGGGTTCAGGGCGTGCGCTTTCTCTAGTAGTAGTACGCAGCCACATAGCAGGACTTAGAACATGATTACTTCGAGGTAGCCATAGTTCATTTGTCACTAACTGTAGCCATCTTGGCTCAAGTTTCCCGTCTTCTCCTCTGCTTCGCGTTAGCCAATGTCGGCCTCATCGCAACCCCACATCACTCGGTACCCATATACTACCTCAAATTCCTTCTAGCTATCCCATCAACCCCCCAATGAACTCCGGCAGTCCTTCATTACATCGCTCAGTACACGAACTCCGACACGGAGGATCATGATACTCAAATTTACTATTCCCATGAAAAAGGTTCAGAATACCTGAGACATACCACCCGAACAACAACAACGACAGCAAATAACACAAGCACCTCGGTGTGAACAGAAACACCATGTAGCGACTCTATGGTGGCGCGCTACATGTTATTGTAGCAACCCCAACCCGGCCGGCCCTTCATAAATTCATAGTCATCAGGACACCACTCATGATAAAGATCAATGATCTCTTGCGCTCGCTCTGAATTCTGACCCTCAGTGTAAATCTGAGGGGAAAAAACCAAAACCTGAATCAATGCATGAAACAAAGAGAGCACTCACGAACTGACATATCATCCCCCTACGCATATACGATCGTCGCCACACACAAAACAAGCCAGGGGGAATCTGAGGCAACTCACAGATGGCACTGTGGGTCCAAATTAGGTTTCACCCGTTTAACGTGAAGTGAAGTGTCAAGTAAATTTGAGGACGTATATATTCCTGCGGCCGATAACACGATGCAAACTATGTTTTTCATATCACGAGTGACACTCCAATATCATATATCAGAAAATAACCTTAACAATAGCGAGCACATATAAAAATCATAATATTGTAGTAATGCAACATCATCACTATTAATATTTATACGTTAGCTGTAGCCGCACCGTGTGGCCATGATATAACTTCATGGATGTCTTACGAATGCAGAGGACAAGACGATTGCTGGACGATTAATAAGAGGAGGATACGCTCTTAAGAACCGCCAACTGACCAGTGCGAACAGACCTGAACAACCATACATATAGTGTTTGACTTCGCTTTCCTCATCCGAGTCGAAAGCAAATTTTCTCATAGTTTTCGGGCGAAATTTTCACATTTTCCGAGTGATAAATTTCTACCTCCCACTAGGTGCAGAACAACCGACTCCGTGTGAAATTATACAGAAACCAATCAGAATTTCTATTATCACCAACACACGTAGTTGACCATGTGCATATTCCCACCAGCTCCGATCATACGTACCTGCTACGGCATACGTGTTGAAGGGTGCATCGAAGGCCTCATCGACGAGGATGCCCTCGAGCCTGCAGAAGGGCATCATAAACTCCTAGCAGTGCTGGAGCAATATATCTTCGGTTTCCTCAGCTGAGCTCAAGAGTTTCCTCACTGATTTTTGGAATTCCTATACGAATTCGGGTATAATTCTACATACAGGCAATAAGAATTTCCTCAGAATTATCAAATCGACACCAACACATGTAGTTGACCATGTGCATATTTTCCCACACTGAGGAGAAGGGTACAGAAACCAACAGAAATCCCCCAAGATTTTCATATTGTCACCAACACATGTATTTGATCATGTGCATCTCAGCCAGCGACTCACGGAGTGATCGTCTTCCTCTCAACAGCTCCCAACGCGGACTGGCGATCATCTCGTCTCTGCATGCGGAACTCCTCCGCACATTCTTTCATCGGTCTGACCCACACCGAGTAAAATCCAAAACAGGCATCCCCCGTTTCTCACATATAATAGTAAATCGATCGCCATATATCCCCCCAGTACTGCCAACCCATCGCTTTCAGAGCCTCAGCGGCAGTAGTCGGGCCACGGTGAGTTTCATCCTCCTCATTAACCGACATCTGAACAGTCATCAGTTCATATGTCCACTCCTCACTAGACATATGTTCGCTCTCCTCACTTGAACTTAGTCGAGGAGTTTATATGCGAGTTCGCGTACAAGTATACAGAATTTCCTGAAAATTCCTCAAAATTCTCATATTGTCATTTAGTTGGCCATGTGGAATGCTATAACACAACACTGATTGTGTACACTTATACAGTAGACATCGACAACTAAGCAAAGAGGAAGTCATCAGGAGTGAGCCCTTGGGATGCCAGATACGCCTTCTCAGCCTCCTGACGTGCTATGAATCTGAGAAACACACAAACACAATACATGCTACACTTCACAAAAACTGAAGTTAATTGTATAATACAACTATACAGTACACAAACACTGGAGTTAATTGTATAATACAACTATACACTACACAAACTATACACTACACAAATACTGGAGTTAATTGTATAATACAACTATACACTACACAAACACTGGAGTTAATTGTATAATACAACTATACAGTACACAAATACTGGAGTTAATTGTATAATACAACTATACAGTACACAAACACTGGAGTTAATTGTATAATACAACTATACACTACACAAACACTGGAGTTAATTGTATAATACAACTATACAGTACACAAACACTGGAGTTAATTGTATAATACAACTATACAGTACACAAATACTGGAGTTAATTGTATAATACAACTATACAGTACACAAATACTGGAGTTAATTGTATAATACAACTATACAGTACACAAACACTGGAGTTAATTGTATAATACAACTATACAGTACACAAATACTGGAGTTAATTGTATAATACAACTATACAGTACACAAACACTGGAGTTAATTGTATAATACAACTATACACTACACAAACTATACACTACACAAATACTGGAGTTAATTGTATAATACAACTATACACTACACAAACACTGGAGTTAATTGTATAATACAACTATACAGTACACAAATACTGGAGTTAATTGTATAATACAACTATACAGTACACAAACACTGGAGTTAATTGTATAATACAACTATACAGTACACAAACACTGGAGTTAATTGTATAATACAACTATACAGTGTACTTTTGACACTGAAAAATTGAATCTAATACATACAATCCAGCAATGAACAGTTGAAAGGCTGCTGGCCACTAAGAGACCATACAGTTGATGCTTACTCGTCCAAGGTCAGTTCCTTCAATGATGATGTCTCATGATCCACAGGCCGCCCATCCGTATTCTGAACAAGGCACGATCATCTGCACCACCTTGGGAGTGTTATGAATTGCATAGCATGATTCAACACATAATATTGTGAATGCAGTTCCAAAACTTCACTATCGTTAACTCCCGAATGAGTTCACTGATGATACCATAGCTCAGCAACGAGGACTGTGCTAGAGTGAGCCGAAGGTAGCTTACATTGCAGTCGAGCCATCGCGGTGCAATAGCACTCTGCAGAGGTGCATCATAGTAGTTAATACCGTAACCCTCAAAGAACGTCTCTTGAGTTAGCGGACCTGATGATAGAAGTAGTAGTAATGGTAGTAGTAGTAGGAGTAGTAGTAGTAGTAGTAGTAGTAGTAGTAGTAGTAGTAGTAGTAGTAATGGTAGTAGTAGTAGTAGTAGTAGTAGTAGTAGCAATGGTAGTAGTAATAGTAGTAGTAGTAGTAGTAGCAATGGTAGTAGTAGTAGTAGTAGTAGTAGTAGTAGTAGTAGTGCTTACTGTCCATATCATAAGCCAGCAAAACGTATATACAATCAATCCGGTCATGTCTTAGCAGTGCCACGTTCATAGTATCGAAATCGTCGACAACCTAATAAGGAGCGTATTTTTTTCTTATGCAAATTCGGGAAAAAATCATTTCACATTAAGTAATGTTTCATGCTGAAACCTAGACAAGACTCTACTACAATGATGAACTACCACACACTGAACTGATACCGTAATTCCCCTGACAAGTACTCACGCATAAGGCACGCGGGCAATCTGCAAGGTTCAGAAATGTGAATTTCTCGTTGGCTACGTAATCAGTGTTGGAGTAGGAATATATGTTCACTTTCCTCAGCTGAGCTCAAGAGTTTCCTCACTAGTTATAGGAGTTTATATACAAATTCTAGAAATCAACAGAAATTCCCAAAATTTCCTCCAAATTTTCACCGACACACGTCCACACTTACCGCAGCTAAATATCTCAGCCCACATTTCACGATGTCAACCATATGCGGCGAGTCGCGCTCCAGATGAGCCATGCTGATAACAACAACAACAGTAAATACTACAACACACTGCTGCTAGGTAACTTTCGAGACGAAGGAACGGAGCTCCAAGTATTTCTAACGGTCCCGGGTTCGATTCCCGGTATGGACTTTTTCTAGCTCTTTCAACAGTTCCGGTAAATTCACGACATAGGGCACCAGAGTCAAGAGGAATTTCATATCTCTGGGAGGAAGACCCTCCAGAATGATACGTGTCTCAAGATTTCAACTGATGTAGTCGTTGAGAAAGAGTTGACCGAACGAACCACAAAGTAGTCGCTCCGCAAGAACCTCCCTTACTTCAGCTGAGTGTAGTTATTTACATCATTTAAACTCCATTCACCGTACTGCTTACCGCTCGTATCAGTGTCATCGAAGAACTACAAGAAACACATTAACCGACATCATTCATCCACCCCTGCCAAACTGATTACGTTTTTAAAGAAGGTTTCAAAGGCTTCACTATCATTCGGATTAGGGCAGTTGAATCCTCCTCCCGCCTCACCATCAGTGCCTACCACAGCAAACATTAAATTAATATTTATAATATTATAGCCACACCGAACATGCAAATATCAATAATGGAGTTTCACTCGCGATACGAGAAACACTAGTGAAAAGTATATTTCACGACTATCGCATAGCGCGAATATCCCGTTTCTCACAGAGTATTACGCCACTTCAAGTGAAAGGGGTGAAACTCCAATGAAGGTGTTGCATTACGACAACCATATACACCCTCTATTAATGAGGTTATGTAGTAGTAGTAGTAGTAGTAGTAGTAGTAGTAGTAGTAGTAGTAGATAATATTGGAGTTTCAGCGTGGTATGAAAAAAAACACCAGTGAAAAACATATTTCACATTTCACTTGTGTTATCGGACGCAGAAAACACATTTTCAATAATAAACATGGAGTATTATGCCACTTCACGTTAAACAGGTGAAACTCTGCTGCTACTTACAGAAAATACCGCCGTTGAAACCACCAGCATCATAATCCGCTCTGCTGTTCTCATCAGAGAGAACCTCATATGCCCTCGCGATGAGTTTGAAAACGCTCTCGGCGAACGCCTTGTCGAAATCGTTCCTGAATGCAGTTCTCCAACGCTCATTCCACGTCCATTTCGATTCCACTGGAGTTTCACCCGTGATATGAGAAACACTTGTGAAAAACATATTGCACGACTAGTACAGGCCGCAAAAATCGCGTTTTTCACCAAGTTTTACGCCACTTCACGTAAAATAGGTGAAACTCCACTATACTCGTCGGTCGGGGAATTGAAACGTGATAACTCACGTAGAAAGTCTACTGTTACGACGCTGATTGCGATACAAAAAATCTCGAATGAAACGGCATACTGGGCGAACGCCATCTAGATATGAGAACAACATCATCATTCAGCAGTAGTAAATATAATGGGAATATTTTCAGTTTTGATCCGGGGTTCACTACTTCCACAAAATTTCCGGAAGAATTTCAGGACACTGTTCAACACTGAGTGTCGGAATATATGCTCGCTTTCCTCAGCAGCTGAACTCGGGGCTTTCCTCACTAATAATAGGAGTTTATATACGAATTAATATGTAGCCAAGAATTCCTCCACAATTTTCGTATTGTCACCAAAACATGTTGTTGGCCATGTGCATCTCTCTCCACAATTTTCGACACGTTTATGGAATGAACTGAGATCCATTCTTTCGCAGCACATGCACGCGTGCGTCCATATACTTTATACCTATTACATTGATATCGTACATATCTGAATTTGCTGTTATAATATAAACTAATAAATACAATATTGATATCCAATACTATAAATCTGAAACCCCTATACTCTCGTCCCCCTAGTACTAACGCACCGGTGTTTATCAGGATGCCATCGAACTGCCAACCTCCTATAAGCCTTCTTGATCTCCTTTGGTGTCGTCTCCCGCTCTATTCGCAGTACTTGGTATAGATCCTATACGAGCATTTCAGACACTCATGCGCACTTCTATTCATCTCACAATAGACGACGCGTTATCTTTAGTCGCATCTACTATCTGTCGGTAAAACGCCGCTTCCTCACAGTCGATGGGCATTTCTTTTCATACTACAATGAGAAAGAAAGACACAATACACCATAGAACAAACACGGTTCATATATTTGGTTTCCTGAGTTCAGCCCAGGATCCTCCTCACTAGATGATAGAAATTTACACACGACCAACGACAGTTTTCAGCAATTTCCTGAGAATTTTATCGTTATCATCAGCACATGTAGTTGACTATGTGCATACTCTTCCACTCTGACACCACCACCATAAACGGACCGATCACAGACGATTCATTGTTAAATCAAAGGGCGTTTCGCCCGAACCGCTATGCGTAAGTGAACGGAAGCAAACCGTTATTTATCGCCACACTAACACAACCATGACCATCACTAGAGTTATGACAACAATCACATATGCGAACTATGCTCGGACGGGCTCGTACATAGTGATAAGAGTAGTATTATTCCGATGTAGAGTACTGCATCCTCGGTAAGCTACGTTTGAAGTCCATGTACGAGTAGTGAGGGGTCTCAATCGGAGGTTGGTGGAGTTACGGTATGACTCGCGCGTGTTCTCGGTAATCCTCCTCCCCAATGGAGAGAACGATTTCTCGTAGCACGAGAAATCCCATAGACGCTAGGGTTGAGAGAGATATTGACCAAACCTCAAACCCGAGCCCCAAAAGCCGAGGTCTGGATTTGGCAATACTGACCAGAGGATGAGTCAGCGAACTGATGTGAATAAACTGCCCGAGCATTAGTCACAGAGTCAGGTGCCTCATCTCTATTCCGGGTCTAGTAGTCCGCCGGCACCAAGGGTAACAAGAGAAGAAAAGAGAAGTCGTAATGCTGGAGTGCTCCACATTCTAGCGAAAGCCCTTGGACTCCAAGGCTTGGAGTCTCGCATTCCAGCACTCAACACAACAGTGTGATGGGACGTGCTTCGCTCCGCTGCGGCGCACTGTCCCTATTATTTGTGCGATCCTTGACAAGTGCATGATGCCGTCTTATTTCAATCACAAAAACAGTGTGATCATAACACCATGCAAACTTGGGAACGAAAGCAAGTCTGAATCCGTTGATTTTGTTAGCCTGTTGATTAAGTTTCGCCGTTAGATATGGCATGCTGATGATTATGTGAGTTTCTCTTTTCTACCGTGCACCCGTTGGAAAAGTACAGCAGTTGTTGTATGTCCGTCCCATTTACTGACTCTCTCAATGATACCAGGTGAACTCGCGTGCGGTAGAGATAGTCCCGATACGAGATTCAATCTCACACAAGTATTTGATCAATACTATTGATGTAATTGTGCACAAACGTACTGTACAATATGATGCGAAAGAAACCACCTATAAAATTTTGTTGCTCGTGAAAGCCGGTTAACGCGCTACTCACTCGCTACTGTTCCCTGAGAGAGTGAGTAGCTGAGTGAAGTTACTTGATGGAAGACCTGATCCTGATATGAATGGACATCACTTGTTTGAAGCATTTCATATCGCATTCGCAACGGCTTCAGTCCATGGAGCGAGTGTGACTGCAGCTCAATCAATTCAAATGTTTTCTCGCTCATGTTAAATTGGTTGTCTTAGCCATTCGCGAGCCGTACTGATCTCAGCATCGTTCGCTATGGCGATATCCTTCCGAGTGAGTGATATCTGCCAGATGTCATTTACGTGTTACTCTTCGTAATTTGAAGAGCGCCCCCTGTAACATCGCTCTCTTACTGAAGCATTCTCATGTCAACACCGAGCTAACAGCTGTAGAAACGACGAGCACTGCATTCGACTCCGCTGTCAATCCTAGAGCTGTCATAACCGCCGAGCCAAATAGCGCTGATGTAGACGAGGAACCTCATCGAACAGACGCATATCGTCCTCAGTGTCACCGTAGCCATCAGCGAGGTCAGGTGTGAAGGTCACCTAGGATGATAATGTAATGACATATCTCTCCGCCAGAATGATACCAACTGGACGGCTCCTTTCCTCACTGGCATGGCCCCATCT